TATTCTAAACGCTATTAACTTCATAGTACGGACCTGGATTACGCCGAAATCGAATCGATAGCTCGAACGGAAGACAAATCAACGAAATCAAACGAACGGGTCAAATTGAGTCAAAATGCGAAATCGACCAATCAATCCGGCGTGGAGGTTAATCTGCCGGCGATATCAACTCGGGGCAGCGGCTGGATGCGGCGACGGTGACGGACGCCGGCGACAGTGGCGGAACGGCAACTCGACGGCGATCAGCAGCGACTGGCGGCGCTGCAATTCGTCGGCGAGGAAGGACGCCGGCAGTGGAGGCGACGTCCGGCGCTCGGCGTGGCGGCGCTGCAATTCGTCGGCGATGAGGGCGGCGGCTACTGGCGAAGGAAGCAGCGGCGGCGAATGGCTGGGGAAGGGCGACCGGCGGCGCTGCAACTCGACGGCGGCGGACGACCGACGAAGAAAACAGCGGCGGCGATTGGACTCGACGGCGATGATGGTGGTTGCCGGTAGGGGAGGCGACGTCCAGTGGCGAGGCGCAGCGCTGGAGGCGGAGGTCGATCGGCAGGGAGGACGACCGGCGGCTGGCTCACGGCGGCGATGATGGCTGGGGAAGACGAAGAAGAAAGAAGAAGAAGAAGAAGAAGAAGAAGAAGAAGAAGAAGAAGAAGAAGAAGTAGAAGAAGAAGAAGAAGAAGAAGAACGGGAGAAGAAGAAGAAGGACGAACGAAGAAGATAAGGTTTGTGTGGTTTAGGTTTAATGGTCCCATTCCAAAAAGGATTGAGCTTCGGACCCAAAATACCTGATTAAATAGTCATAACATGAGCTCCATAACTCCGATTCGCGAGCCGTCTGAACCGACGCGATCACAAAAATATTTCCTACGAGATGACATAAAAGTTGGGCTTAAAATCCAAATTATAATTTTAACCCCTTTTTGGGCCCAATTCGTAATCAATTGCTCTAACAATTTAATTAATTCTTTTGGGCCAGGTTTCGGGGCGTTACAGGGCTGCCCATCCACGGTGACGACATCGCAACCTATGGTGGCGGCGATTGGATCCTCAACAACGAGGCGGTCGTCATTCGAGAGCTTGGGATCACCAACCTCATCCGCCACAGCGGCACACCGACGATTCACTCGGCCCCACCGGACAAGCGCCTCCTCCTCTACATCATCACCCGGATTCTCCGCCCCCGGGACAGCAGCCATACCTCGCTCTTCAACGAGGAGTTGAAGGCGATTCATGCCATCATCCACGGCGCCTCCATCAATTGGGCGAAATTCGTGATGATCCACATGGCGGATTGCGCCTCCATCGCCACTGAGCGAAGCTTGCCATACGCCTTCCTCGTCATGGACCTCATCATCTCCGCCGACATCTCCATCGCCGGCCCGGATACGAAGATGACAAAGATTTGGATAATTCAAGACAGCACCTTCCGGAAGAAGTCCGGAGACCGGGACGGCACAGGCCCAAGTCGTGCACCAGCCCCCGCTCCCGCCAAGGCCTCTTTGCAATCCATAGCCGATACTCTGAATCGGCTAACCCTCACAAGGGATGGCATGGGGCAGTTAATCGAGCGGATGGACTGGACGCTACAACGCCAACATCACGACATGACGGCGTTCTTCCGCGGCATCAACTACGTCCCGCCGCCCTTTTACAGCACTTTCCTCGGCCAAAACTATGAAGGCGAGGACGAGGAGGATAACTCCTATGCTCCATCCTCCTCCCCCGACGAGGCCGACTTTGAAGATGCGGTCGACGGCGATCCCATGGACGTCGAGGACGACGAGGACGCCGATGCTTAGACTTCTCTTTTCTCTTCTTCCTATGATTGTATTTCTTAATTTTTTCCGTTGTATTCCGCATTTCCCTTTTTCATGAATAAAAGTTTACTTTTACAATTCTAAAGTTTACTTTTAATTCTTTTTGTTAATGTCAAAAGGGGGAAGATATTAAGGTTATGCATAAATTAAGGGGGAATTTTTTTGTAAAATAGCATCTATTAAGGGGGCACATCTTTTTCAAAATAATCCTTCTATGCATAACCTCGTCTCGTTTGCCATTATCAAAAAGGGGGAAATTGTTGAAACACGGGCTTGTCACGTTTTCGTACTAAAGCCGTGTTCGTTTTTGTAACAGGTTTTGATAATGCCAAACCGCCGTGATAAAGTCGAACATTGAATATACAAGGCGAAGAACGAAGATAAGAGCAAGAGCTAAACGAAGACCAAGAACGAAGACCTTAATCATAGTATTGAGTGGGTCTTTATTGTGATCAAG